GAGAGAGAGAGAGAAACTTTGATGTGAGAGAGACACATAGACTGGTTGCCACCCATACGATCCCAACCAGGACCAGAGACAAAGTGCCACTGAGGTATGTGCCCTTAGTGGGAACCGAACCCCGGTCTCTCTGGACTGCAGGCCAACGCTCTAACCACTGAGCAAAACTGGCCAGGGCTACATATAGTTTTGAATGATCTAATCTAATTGGAAAGTTCCTCATAAAATACATTGTAATCTTAGGCTATAATTTCCTTGAAGGCTGGTAGCAGTTTGGTAGGACCCTAGCTGTAAATGGAGCTTAGTGCACATTTTGGAACTTCCAACCTGACAGCTACCAAGCTGAGTTCTTAGGATATAACATTTTTAGGTTATTTTTTATTAAGATTTTGCCATTATTTTCCTTTCCTTCTTCTTAAATGCAAGGCAGTTGTACTTCCAATGCCACTGATATATATATAAAATCTGCAATGTCTGAAGGCAAATAGGAAAGGGGTCTTGATGGGGGAGGGGCACATAAGAATGGAAACACAGTTGTTTACTGATTATTCATCTTACTAACTACAGATAAGAGGTTTTCTTACAGACCCTGAGAAAATGGAGGATGTGCTACAAGAAGAAAAACTGGGCTGTAAAAAGATAAGATGCCTAGAAGCCCAGATGAGTCCATTACTGTGAAAATAAAATACATATTAAAAGCAGACCAAGGTCAGCACACACTTTGACTTGGTTGCTGTGCCCGGACCCTGACCTTCTCCAGGAGTTTGCCTCAGAAATGCTGACCATTCTCTGGTCCCAGGAATGGGCTGAGCTGTCTGTAACATCACAGATTAGCCACCTTGTTATCAGACTTTGAGCTCTTGAAGGCCAGAATGCACACTCTCCCCTCCCCTTTCCCTGTTACACTAGCAGCTCACTGCTGCATGTAGTTATCTTCTCCCTCACCCATATATAATCAGACAGCTGGCAAAGGGGTCAGAGCAGAATTTTCAGGATGACCTACTGCTCTTCCCATACTGTTGGTATTATTTGAATAAATGCTCATAAATGATTCAACCCTGTATCTGTTTAATTTGGCTCAAGTAGTGACAGGCGGCTTCAGACCTGTTTAGTGTCCACTATCAGTTTGAGTAGAATTTGACTTTTTTCTAATTTCTGTCCTTCCATCTTAAGGAACTTTGATGTCTAGCTATTATAACAATGTAAGAGCTCTCTAAATTTTTTTCTTCTTTACAATTTAGAAGTTTTTCCAATTCAAAGGGCCCATTATCTGGCTTGACAAGTAGGATAGCAACTCAAACCAGTAAGAACTACGGCTGCAAGATGTATCCCCAAAACAGAGTGCTAAAAGATACAACCCTCACAAGATAAAGTTCATTCCAGAGTTATAAATAGCCATTCCAAAGCACAGGGAATCACGTCCCCTCTCCATTTTTTAATGGGGTGTCTAGATTCACTACACTTAGATCTACAGCCTACTTGGCTGCCGCCAGATGCATATGCGCCCTCTGACTAGTGAAAAACGAGAATGAAGGGCCCTGTTTTTACCATTTCTGGGAAGAAATGGATAGACACAGAAAACTCCCTTGATAGCTTGGCATGGCTGGACAGAGAGGTAGGTGCATCCTGGCAAGTACACCCTCTGCATGGTAGAGGCCAGAGAAGAAATATTTTCACTGGTCATAAAGGCCATGCTCTAAGGACGACATATGACGATGAAAGAAGAGAAACCAGGTAGAGAAATACAGAATTAACAAAACCCATGAGTACTCACACCAAATAATCACAAGTCGCTAAGCTAAATAAACTATTTTCACAAACATTTTCTCCTGCTAATCTAAATTTTGAAAAGGAAATAACAGACTCTCACCGTTCTGCTTCCACCACACATTGCAGGTGGAGATTAATCTCTTATTATGGGCAACACCCCTAATTTAAATTCTTCAAGGTAATTAAGGGGGGAAAAGTTTCTCTTGAGCCTGCAAAGCCTCAATTGCCTTTAGCTCAAAATAATCCACATACCATAGAAGTACATCTTGGAGTGAACCCCTATGAATTGCAGTAGCTGCATGCATGAATGGTACCCGTACTGTGTGAAACTACTCCCTCCTGTGGTTAAGCAACACAACCAATAGCAGGTTTAGAAATTCCTTATGCTGTCTGGAACAGACTGAATAGGTATCATGTCACAGTAAGTTGTACAGGGGTAGTAGCCTTGGAATCAGCTCACTTTTGTTTTCCCCACTTATCAGCATCCCTCCTTTGACTAATGTACATCCAGCTTATATCTAGATTTGCTTTCCAAGGAACAGTGTATACATCACTGTATTACTCCTCTAACAATAGGAAAAGACTGAAAATTAACAAAGGGATCGGGAAATTATGTCAATGCGATTTATCCAATTAATGTTGTGGTTGGTGTCTCTGTGAAGATAACAGGATCATAAAACTCTATTAGTGCCACCTAATTGGCAAAGGAAAAATGGTGTACATAAGAGAAAACAGTGTTGGGTTAAAACTTTTAAGGATCGTGCATATAACTTGGATTCCATAAACTGAGGTGAATTGGGACCTACTTCAGTCTGTAGATACTGAAAAGGAACAATTCATTTGAACAACAATTCAGTTGAAATGAAACAATCTAGCACCAGGTTATAGTGTAACAAGGTGGAGAAGTCTGGAGAAGTCATAGTTTGACTTCAAACTCAACAAAGCGAAACTAAAATTACAAACCCACTTCTTACCCTCGTATCTCTCTTGAATTTCTGAAAATTTTTACTTTCTTATAAAGAAAATGGTCTGATAATAAGGGAGTGTCCCCTGATCTTGAGCAAAAAATTCCCCCCAAACAGAGTGATACAAATTTATTTGCTATTTAAAAAGATCACTTGGGCTGCTTTATGGTGAATGGATTAGAGGAAAGCAAGAGTGGAAGTGGGGAATACCAGTCTTCCAGGTGATAATGGTGCAAATTAGATGAATTTGATCTTCAGGAGTTATAAATAGGACTTAGTGATTAGTTGCAAGTCAAGGGTAAGGAACAGGAAGAGTCAAAGATAATTGTTGAACGTGGCTAGAATTTTCCACAAAGGCCTTAAGTAGATGTAAGTGGAAAATCTCCAGGCTTTGCAGTATAAGCACCAAAAAGAAAGTTTGTCCGTGTTGGCACAATAAGAAAGCCTAGGCCTATAACCTGCCCATTACAACTGGGTGTAATTACACCACGTGGCAGAGCTGCATTAATGGGTACTGATACAAAGTGCAGTGTGTTCCACTTGAATTATATTCTAATCTGGAGAATATTTTACTCAGTCTGGCCATTTTGTCCATTGTACATCAGAAACACCTTTATAAGGTACAAGGGAACCAATAATAAAATGCTGCCCAGCTGTCTATGTAGCTCATTTTTACCTTTTACTCAGCTGATTTGCTGCTTTAGAAGTAAATCAAAGCAAAAGTAATCGAACTAAGTTTAAGTTGTCATTTGCACACACCCTCAAACTTAAATCAGTGAGTTTCCCGCCTTGAGCACTTGACTATGTAGCTGGTGTTGCTACTGTTTGAGATGGGGAACATAGTGGAGGAGGAGCAGGCTTTTTAAGTTCTTATTCTTATTATAATTGCTGTTATCGCTTTTGCGAGAGAGGTCAAGTTCAGTTTCGGATATGTTGACTTAAAGGTTGCTTTCTACTCCAAGTGGAAATAGGAACTAGACAGTTGCACATATGGGTCCAGATTGCAGAAGAAAGTTGTGAGCTAAAGGTCAAAATGTCAGAATCCTTAGCTAAACAGACAGAAATTGAATTTATGGGCATGGATGAGATCACTTGGGGAGAGAGTATAGTTAGAAGAGAAAATGGCCAAGAACTGAACCCTGAGAAAAACCCATTTGTTAAGGGCAGTGAGCAAGCTTGGAAGATATATATAGCTGAGTAAATAAGAGAAACATGGTGTCTGAATACCAAGAGGAAGAGTATTTCAGGGAGATCACGACCAAGAGTGTCTTTTCTTTTTGGAAGAGTTCAACTTCTCACTTATATGGACACTATTCCCTCTGTTGAAGGATTTTTTGCCTTGAAAAGATAATTCTGGGTCACTGCTGCCTGGAGTACTTAATTTAACCCGTGTTTTTGAAGTTAAGATCATCATGTTGATACCTTCATGTAGCAATTTTCCATTCCTGATGAACCCAAGGTATAATCTTTCCACTGGAATTATTAATGATGATTTTGTATATGATATGGCATGTATTGTAAGGCTGTTTTTGTATCTGGTAATGGAGTGATCTGATACATCCTGTGCGTATTCCTCAATATCCCTACTCTTTTCCTGCTGGTCTGAGCCTATAGATTATTCATTTTAGTGTGCATATATGTGTGTGTGTATGTGTGTGTGTATATATACACATATATATACACATACATATATGGAAATCCTGGACTCCTGCCAGCTATGTAAATCTTATCTTTAGATTTGCAAGTACACTGATAAGATCTACGACGACAGGGCAAACTCCTATAAACAGTGGCTTTGGATTTCAAGGTTGCTGCGTTCGTTGTTGCTGTTTCGCCCAAGACCTACTGTAACATATGTAACCGAGTACACAGTACAGGTGCATATGACTGAATAAAAAATGTTGGTCAACTATCCGACATTCCCCGAAATTTCTTATTCTATTCACAGAAGAACGTCACCCCTTCCAGGTAGAAACCAGCTGAACTGACGTTACGAACCACGAACGGGTCGTTAGGTGCCGACTGAAGTCGCTGCTCCAGCCGTCTCGTCACTGCAGCTGGGAAGGCGCCGACGCTTCGCCCAGACGAGCCGCTTCTCCTCCGGGACGCTGCCCGGCTCTGCCCTCCAGCCCCGACTCGGTGGATGATTCAGGGCTCACTCCCTTTCCCTGCCCACCGGCTCCCTCCAAGTCCGCCCCGCCCCCTTCAGAGGACTTCGCCGATTTCATTCCTCCGCGGCGAAGTGGGCCGAGCGCCGAGTGATCGATGCTCCCTCCGCATCCCCGAAGGCCGCCATTTTGCGGGGCGGAGAAACCGCAGGAACGGCCGCAAAGGCTCCACGGGATGTTGACAGGCTTCTGCTTCTCTTGGCAGCCCTGTGGGACCGGGACAGAAGAACCCACCGCGGCCACTCCTCCGGCTGCCTCTCCGGCATGAGGCCTCAGCTCTCCCGCCGCACGGACCCCTTCCTCCAGCAGTGAGTGACGGCCGGCGGGCGGCACGCCCCCGCGCGCTCTCCGCTGTCAGTTACCCCGCGCGCCCCCGCCCTCCCCGCGCGCCCCCGCCCTCCCCGCCAGGCTTGGCGCCCGGCGCAGACTCGATTGTTTTCTTTCTGCAGGAGCTTAAGGAGAGGCCTAAGCCGAGACCATGCCTGGGAAGCTGAAGGTGAAAATCGTGGCCGGGCGCCATTTGCCAGTGATGGACCGAGCTAGTGACCTGACTGACGCCTTCGTGGAGGTTGGTGCAAGGTCCTGCTGCTCAAAACCCAGGGAGCGCCAAGCCCTGTGATGGATCCCACCCATCTCGGCCCCAGACCCTCAGCCCGTTCCCCTGCCGACAGCCCCGCGTGCCTTGCTTGCCCAGCCCTCCCTGGAGGGCCGCCTGCCGAGACGGCAGCCGAGTGATGGCCGTGCGGCTCGCCGGCGTCCGCGGCACACTGCACCGCGCCGGGAGCCTGTTACTGCTCTGCATGCTGGGGTGACCCTGATGTCAGGGCTCATAGCAGGCCACCTGCCAGTCAGATCTCAAGGCGCGGCCACGGGGCCGCCGAGAGACACACGCACGCACACGCCTTTCTTTTGGGGAGGGGTGGCTCTTCACTCCAGAGTGGTGGTGATGTTGACTGTAGATACAGTACAGTGGGCACTTTGGAGACCTACAAGGCTGGGAGACCCACTTTACCATTTTCTGAATCGTCAGTGTATACGTTCTAAAACACAATTGTAACATTTCCTGCTCTTGTCTGGACTGGTAGGTCTGAAGAGCCGTTTGGGATAATTTAGTGCCTTGGGGTAGGAAGTCAGTTAAGTGCCATGGATATTTAAATTGCAAAATTGCCTTTTAAATTTAATGATTAGTTTATAACTCATGCAAATTGTCACAGGCCTAGGGCCCCGGAAAGTAATACCCCACTGTATGAAAGAAGCCAAGTAAAAATTATAATAAAAATTGACATGATGAGCCAGAGGTTTAAAACAGTAATCATTTGACCTATTAATGCATAGATTTAATAGATACATAATAATATATAGCTTGATTTTATCTCAGTATAGAATATTCTTGATGATCCATAAAGGTTCTCTAACCTAATAACTGCAGTTTTGTCTGCAGTTTTGTCCCCAAACACAACTATGGTAATTTTAAAGACCAACTTCATTTGGGAAGCAGTTACTGAGTATGTTCTTGGGCCAGATGTTAGGTAATGGGGATACACAGATTTCCACGGCATAATCTTTGCTTTCAGGTAGCTCAGAGACTGCCCTACAGCTTAGGTTAATAACTAATAACTAACATGTATTGAGTCTTTTTATTGCCAAGTCTATGCTAAGTATTTTTTAATTAGTTCTCATAACAGCCCTAGCCTGGCTTGTCGCTCAGTTGGTTGGAGTGTCTGGTACCAAAGGTTTCAGGTTTAATTCCTGATCAAGGCACATACCTAGGTTGTGGGTTCGATCCTACCATTTGGTTGCTTATGTGAGGCAAACTGATTGATGTTTCTCTCTTTCCCTTCCTCTCTAAAATCAGTAAATATATTCGGGGATGATGATTAAAAAACAAAAAAACAAAAAACAGTCTTGCTATTGTATTGTTATTATCCCACATTACAACTGAGGTAACTGAGGCCTGGGAACAGTAAATAATTTGCCTAAGGTTACTTAACCTTGTAAATCTCTGTAGCCTTGTCTGTTAGTGACTGAGCTAATACTGCCTTTCCAAGCAAGATAAGTGTTGTTATAGAATGTGGAAATTTAATTCTGTCTCTGAAGGTTTAGGGAGGCTTCCTAAGATAGTGACATTTGAGCTGAGTCTTGAGGGACACTCAGGATTTTACCAGGCAGAGGGAACATCAAAGGCACAGAATGGGATACATGGTATGTTTAGGAAGTTTGAAATGTGTCTGGAGTAAAAGAGGATATGTGGATAATGGAGGTCATGGGTGATAAGGCTGGAAAGGTAGGTTGGAGCTAAGCCTCATTTTCTATACTAAAGAACTTTTCCTTTATTCTCTATTGAGGGGGTTAGCCAAGGGAGCTTTTTAAGTAGAAATGAAGTAAGATCATGTTTGTATTAGGTTGTTTCTTTCTAGGATGACTTGCATGATGGGCAAGGATGAGGCAAGGACAACAGTTTGGAAAGTGGTAAAATTATCTAGGCAATATGTGCATGTATAGAATGGGAATGGATTAAAAGAGTAAGATTTGAGGAGCATTTCTTAGATAAAATTGTCAGGCTTTGGTAACAAAGACTGTTTTGCTGGTGAGGGAGAGGTTGAATTCAAGAGTGAGTCATTAATTCCTTCTTTCATCAAATAGTTATTGAGTGTCCCATATTTGCCAGGCCCCACGCCAGTCATTGACCTAGATGATGCACATCTAATGGTGAACAAAAGTGACGTGGTTTTATGAACTTTATATTTTGGTGGGACAGACATTAAAAAATAAAGAAATGACTCGCCAGTGTGGCTTGGTTGGAGCATTGACTTGTATACCAAGGGGTGGTGTGTTTGATTCATGGTCAGGGCATATACCTGAGTTGTGGGTATGATCCCCACTTGGGGCTTGTGCTGGAGGCAACAGATTGATGTTTCTCTCTCTCTCTCCATCTCCATTCTTCTCTCTAAAATCAGTAAAAAAAAATTATTAAAAACAGCTTTTAAAAAATAATAAATGACTAAGTATATAATTACAAGTTGTGATGAGTGTCTGAAAGAAAACAATAGGGAGAGAATAATAGGGAACATCTACTTTAGGTTGAGAAATCAGGGGAGGCCTATGGGGAGGTGTGAATTAGGCAAAGACCTGCTGGATGAGAAGGAGGTGCTAGCTGCCCAGGGGATATATGTGTGTGTGTAGGGGAGTTTGGAACAGGAGAAGCTGGAGGAGGAGAGAGTCTCAGCCGAGGGAAGATCCTAAGGAGATTTGCTTTATCTCGATTGCAGTTTGTCCCTGGTCCCCATTGGGGTCGTGTGGGTGGCAGCGAGTCAATGTGTCTCTCTCACATCAATGTTTCTCTCTCTCTCTTCCTCCCTCCCTCCCACTCTATCTGAGTATAAATGCAAAAGTGTCCTCGGGTGAGGATTAAAAAAAAGAAGGAAGATGTGTATGGTTGGCATATTGTGAGTGAAGAGGAAAGTGTGTAAGATAAAGTTGGAGAGTTAGTCAGGGAGCCAATCTTGTAGGATCTTAAAGGCCATGGTTAGGAGATTGGATTTTATTCTAAATTCAATGGGAAGCAGTTGTTAAGATGAGCACTTTTGTTTGGAGAATGGACTGAAGAGGGGAAAGAGCTGATGCAGGTATTTTGAAATCTACCCTTTACATATCTTGGCATGATATTAATAACTAATATAACCTGTCCATGCTCAATTAAAAAATCAATATAATGCTCTAACTGTAATAAGAAAAATAAAATTATTTTTAAATATATATTTTAATATGGAGGTACTTGTTCACGATCCCAGTAGAAGATATGAAGTAGTCAAACTGAACTCAAACTGAACCTATGAATATTTATTGAGTCTTTGTATATCAGAAAGTGTACTGGATATTGTACAGTATACTTGGGATACAATAATAAATAAAACAAAAAATTTTTTTTGGCATAGAACTTACATTTTAGTAGGAGTAAGGAGTTCATAAAGAAGATAATTAAGTAAAAGATAAAGTATGCCAGATGGTGAGAAGTTCCCCATGTGGAGGAAAAATACAGCAGGAATGCAGGGTAATGGAGTGCCTGACCTACATATAAAATCACATGAGTATGACTGCTCCTTGGACAGTGAGACAGTTGTGTAGTTTGGGCATCTCAGGCCTTCATTGCCATTGGCTATATGATTTTCCAAAATAGTCAACTCATGGGAAAACAGAGAGTTATCCCTTAATTTACATGATGGTTGTATTTCTTGATAATTACATATATTAAAACCTCATCACACTACTTTTCTCTGTAAAACTGAGTTAAGTTAGGTTCTAGGTAGATTTTCTACCCATGTGACTATCTGGTGGGACATTTGAAAGTCATGGCAGGAGACAAGACTTCATTGTGGGGGACCATCTCTTGCATTGGAGGACACTACCATCTTGGACCTTCCTCATTAAATAGTATGCCCTCCAGACACCCCTAGAAATGTCTAAGTTTTCTTAGAAGTTAGTTCTGTCCATTTTGCAAATCTCTGACTTGGGGGGTTGGGAGAGAGAAGAGGGATGGATTCTTGAAAAACTTGACATTAAGTATTTTTTAGAAGTAGAGGACTGGGGAAAGGAAGCTGAGATTATCAGCCAGTTGGGTAGATGATAAATCAGGAGAGTAATGTCTCAGCAAGAAAGAGAGGAAGTTTCTTGAAAGAGAAACCCCTCAGTTGGTGGCACTGAGAGGTCAAGTAAGGACAAAGACATCACTAGATTGCACGACATGGAGATTGTTATCCTGACTAGAGGAGTGATTAAGGACAGAAGCCCATACTCTGGTGAGTTAGAGGGAAGATGAGGAAGTGGGAATGGTATGAATAGGCAATTGTTTCAGGAAATGCGGTTGTGAAGGGGAAAGGAGAAATAATTTGGTATTTGGGGGAGTACAGAGCTTTTGGTGCTTAAAAAAAATAAGAAAATAGAACACATGTATGTGCTAATAGGAATAATCCAGCAGAAAGGGAAAGATTAATGCAGGAAAAAGGGGATAATGAAAGATTGTAACTTAATATAGGGATAAATTATATGATGTAGAATATAAGTACTTTGTAAGCTTACAGGAGGGGGACATAATGAAGCCTGTCCTGGTGATGAGACATCTTTATACTAGGTTGAAGAATGGTAAAATTTCCACAGGCAGAAAGGAAAAGGGGGCATTTTTTAGATGAATAGGACAAACTTGCTAAAAGCAAAGGCAGGATAGAGCAAATGTAATTGAAGGCAGAGTTCTTGTTAAATAGAAGTGGGAAATAAAATTTGGCAAGTAGGTGGGGATACAGACCACCGAGTGGTCTGAAAGCTAGGGGGAAGAGTCTCTGCAGTAGAAGTTCTCTTACCCATTCCATTAACTGACTTGTCACAGTCCCCAGTGCTCTGCATTCCTTCCTGAGCACATTCTTCAATACCCCATACAGTTAGGTTATTCTCCAGTACCTGTGTGCCTCCTTCTCCAATCAGTTGGCTGATGTACTCTACCAAGAGGCAGTTGTCTATGCGAATTCTATATTGTAATTTATTTAAACCTATAAATTGGTGAAATGTGTGAATAAG